AATTTAAAATCTGTTTGTAATTATAAATGCAAAAATACTTTAATAATTTTTAATTATATTATTACTAATATAAGAAACATAAAAATCTAAACATTTAGTATTAATTTATATTTAAGCACTTTATTTTCCGGAAATTAGTGTAGTATTTGTATCAATAATTTATAAAATATATTTAAATTTCTTTTTTATTGGTAAAGCCGTGCGGATGGCATGTAATCAGATATAATCCCAAACCAATTACAGGCCATAGAAATACATTCAAACGGAGTATACTTATGGCCCAAATCGGCAAAAATACTACAAATGAACCAACGATTTGCTCAGAAAGTCGTGATCTGAACGTATAGTGAATGTCACCACATCTGGTCTGTCGGCTCTTTATCACATCATTGGATGCCTTTCTCAGATCATAGGCCCAACCGATGGCCGCAAACATGTCTATGAAAGCCGTCGCCGGATTGAACGTATCGATTGCTCCCAACTCTGAGGCCGAGTAATCCCTGCAAACAATTCATTTACAAAACAATTATTTAACACTTAAACTAATTTTTATAACTGAAAATACGAATACCAGGGAAACGTGTGGTGATAATTATGAAAGCCTTCGCCCACCAAAAAGTGCCTCATATTTGCCTCAACGGGAACTATACTCTTGTCGTACGGCTATTAACAATAATTAAAAATTACATTTTAAATAAATATAAAAAATAAATAAAAATAACTGTTAAATATATTCAAACCTTCATTCCATATAAATGTGCAGCACTATTAACACACCATGTTAGATTAACTGCACCGCAGTACCGGAGCATAACGCATACAAACCATGAGTTCCATAGGGTTTCGCCCCAATAATAATGGGGTATAAAAGTGGGAATTGCGGCCCAAATCAGTGCCAATAATGGTATATAAAATGCGCGCTGAAATCTGACCAAAGGGTCGGTTTGGAGATCACTCATGTCTATAGTCTTTCCCTTTTCCTTCACTTCCGGATGTTTTTTACACAAAAGCCAACCGACGTGTGAGAAGAAGAACCCGCGCCGGGAGTTGTGTGGGTCGGCGTTAGTGTCGCTGTACTTGTGGTGCAGGCGATGGTCACGACTCCACTCATAGATATCGTTTTGAAGGGCCATTGTTTGCAATATCATTAGTATTATCTGAAGCGGGAGTTTGGCTTTATATGTGCGGTGACACCAAAGCCTATGAGCGCCACACTATATGTTATAATTGTAATTAATAGCAAAATATTAAATGAAAACAAAATAATATTATGATTACTTGAATGCCTAATGAGGAGACGAGAGCAATGAAGTTCATAAACATAATAGTCTTGAACTGAGCCGCATATACAGCCAAATACAGGCCATAGACCGCCGATGAATGTAATAATGCCATCAGAATTATATTTCGCCATACCAATTCTCGTTTATATACTACAGGCTTTTTAATATGATCAATTGTATTAATTTGATCATGGTTTGTGTCAATTATTGAGCCGTTGCCCACTTTTACAGTCATTTTATCAAACTTTTAGATATTATTATCAAGAACAATTAATTTCCTTTTAATAATAAATGTTGTAATTTAGTAAAACTCTATGAAAAATCTTTTATTTATATATGAATTCATTTTGTAAAAAAGACATTTCCTGTTAATTAACAATTATAAAATTATTAATTAAATAAATATTAGTCAATATGCAAAAACCCAATTAATTTATTAACAGAATATTTATTAATTTATTTAATTAAAAATGTTATTGTAAAATAAATTGACGTACATGGTTAAGTTGCATAAAATAATTTATTTTTAATTAGGCTAAACCAGTGTAGGATATTCATTTTAAAACAATTGTATTTTGTAAATTTTAATTAATTTTTTTACTCATAGAATTTAATGAGTTAATTAGTTTATTTTACTTCTTACGTGACTTGTTATTAATTATTAATTAATAAATCGTATCAAATTTAAAATAAGACATGATTAGTCATCCTGTTCAAATTTACAGGATTTATACACCAAAATATTAGTTACATATAATAATCCAACGAATACACAATTTTGTCAAATTTTTCTATTATATCTTCTATTAATTTCAGAATATTATTTATACTAGAATTTAACTTTATCAAAGACAGGTTAAGTTAAGTACTTAACTACTTTAATACTATGTTATTAAGGTTACATTAAATAACATTAAATATCGATCATATATTATGAAAACAATAGTAAATAATATGGACAACTCTATTAATATGGTTAAAAGCAACCATGCTGAATCGACTTCAGTGAACAAACCTCGTAATATATACAAATTGGAGATCGTGTGGCGCAATGTGGCCATGTTTATATTGTTGCACCTTGTTGCTGTCTATGGACTTTATATTAGCGTTTTTTACGTATCTATCAATATGATCTATTATTTAACAGCTGTCAACTTTCTATGTGGCTTGGGTATCTTAGCAGGTAACAGTATCAATTACTTTATAAATGCAATATTATTTTAAAATAACACTAAATTGTGTATTTTATGACTTACAGGCGCTCATAGGCTTTGGGCGCACCGATCATACAAAGCTCGGCTCCCATTGAAGATATTTCTGGCAATACTCCAAACGGCGAGCATTCAGAACGACATCTACGAGTGGGCGCGCGATCATCGCCTGCACCACAAACACAGCGACACCGACGCCGACCCACACAACTCCCGGCGCGGGTTCTTCTTCTCACACGTCGGTTGGCTTTTGTGTCGAAAACACCCGGAAGTGAAGGAAAAGGGAAAGACGGTTGACATGAGTGACCTGTGGGCCGACCCTCTTATCAGATTTCAGCGCCGCTTTTATATCCCGCTCACAATTATCATTCGCTTAACTCTTTTCACATATCTTCCTATGCGTTGGTTTAATGTTTCATATTTGGATGGTTTGGCCATAAATATGATGGGACTGGTAGTCAATCTGAACCACACTTGGCTCGTCAACTCAGCCGCGCATATATACGGTTATAAGCCCTACGACAACACCATTAATCCCAAAGAGAACAGAGCTGTTGTCTATATGGCATTAGGTATTAATAATTACACAATTATTGTGCATTGTTTGATACAACAAAAAACATAATTGAATTTTTACTAAAAAACAGGTGAAGGGTATCATAACTATCACCACACGTTTCCATACGACTACTCGGCCTCAGAGTACGGGTGGGCCGATGGGTTCAATCCCGCGACCGCTTTCATTGATTTGTGCTATAAATTAGGTTTGGCTTACGATCTAAAGAAACCAACGAAAGAGACTATTGAACAGCGCGTCAAACGAACGGGAA